TTTGTGGGGCGCAGGTTGGGAGAAGGTGCGTGTGAAGGGGAGACGTTTAGGGGGAGACGTTTGTGGGGCGGAGGTGGGGAGACGGTGCGTGTAAAAGGGAGACTTTTAGGGGGGAGGCGTTTGTGGGGCGCAGGTTCGTAGAGGTGCGTGTGAAGGGGGAGACGTTTAGGGGGGAGACGTTTGTGGGGCGCAGGTTCGGAGAAGGTGCGTGTGAAGGGGAGGACGTTTTAGGGGGGAGACGTCTGTGGGGCACAGGTTGGGAGAAGGGGCGTGTGAAGGGGAGACATTTGTGGGCCGCAGTTGGGAGAAGGTGCGTGTGAAGGGGAGACGTTTAGGGGGGAGACGTTTGTGGGGCGCAGGTTGGGAGAAGTTCGTATGAAGGGGAGACGTTTAGGGGGGAGAACGTTTCTTTCTGGCGCGCAGGTTCGGAGAAGGTGCATGGGGCGCAGGTTGGGGAAGGGTGCGTGTGAAGGGGAGACGTTTAAGGGGAGACGTTTGTGGCGCGCAGGTTCGGAGAAGATGCGTGTGAAAAGGAGTCGTTTAGGGGGGGAAACGTTTGTGGGGCGCAGGTTCGGAGAAGTGCGTGTGAAAGGGAGACGATTAGGAGGGAGATGTTTGTGGGTCGCAGGTTCAGAGAAGGTGCGTGTGAAGGGGAGTCGTTTAGGGGGGAGACGTATTTGGGGCGCAGGTTGGGAGAGACTCGTATGGAGGGGAGACGTTTGTGGGGCGCAAATTGGGAGAAGGTGAGTGTGAAGGGGTGACGTTCAGGGGGAGATGTTTGTGGGGCGCAGGTTGGGAGAAGGTGCATGTGAAAGGGAGACGTTCAGGGGGGAGACGTTTGTGGGGGCGCAGGTTCGGAGAATGTGCGTGTGAAGGGGAGACGTTTAGGGGGGAGACGTTTGTGGCGCACAGGTTCGGAGAAGGTGCGTGTGAAGGGGAGACGTTTAAGAGGGAGACGTTTGTGGGGCGCAGGTTCGGAGAAGGTGCGTATGAAGGGGAGACGTTTAAGAGGGAGACGTTTGTGGGGCGCAGGTTTGGAGAAGGTGCGTATGAAGGGGAGACGTTAAGGGGGGAGACGTTTGGGGGGCGCATGTTGGGAGAAGGTGCGTGTGAAGGGGAGATGTTTAGGGGGTGGACGTTTGTGGGGCGCAGGTTGGGAGAAGGTTCGTGTGAAGGGGAGACGTTTAGGGGGGAGACGTTTGTGGGGCGCAGGTTCGGAGAAGGTGTGTGTGAAGGGGAGACGTTCAGGGGGGAGGCGTTTGTGGGGCAGAGGTTGGGAGACGGTGCGTGTAAAAGGGAGACGTTTAGGGGGGAGGCGTTTGTGGGGCGCAGGTTCGTAGAAGGTGCGTGTGAAGGGGAGACGTTTAGGGGGGGAGACGTTTGTGGGGCGCAGGTTCGGAGAAGGTGCGTGTGAAGGGGAGACGTTTAGGGGGGAGAACGTCTGTGGGGGCGCAGGTTGGGAGAAGGTGCGTGTGAAGGGGAGACATTTGTGGGCCGCAAGTTGGGAGAAGGTGCGTGTGAAGGGGAGACGTTTAGGGGGGAGACGTTTGTGGGGCGCAGGTTCGGAGAAGGTGCGTGTGAATGGGAGACGTTTAGAGGGGAGACGTTTATGGGGCGCAGGTTCGGAGAAGGTGCGTGTGAAAGGGAGACGATTAGGAGGGAGACGTTTGTGGGTCGCAGGTTCGGAGAAGGTGCGTGTGAAGGGGAGACGTTTAGGGGGGAGACGTTTTTGGGGCGCAGGTTGGGAGAGATGCGTATGGAGGGGAGACTTTTGTGGGGCACAAGTTGGGAGAAGGTGCGTGTGAAGGGGAGACGTTCAGGGGGGAGGACGTTTGTGGGGTGGAGGTTGGGAGACGGTGCGTGTAAAAGGGTGACGTTTAGGGGGGAGGCGTTTGTGGGGCGCAGGTTCGTAGAAGGTGCGTGTGAAGGGGAGACGTTTAGGGGGGGAGACGTTTGTGGGGCGCAGGTTCGGAGAAGATGCGTGTGAAGGGGAGACGTTTAGGGGGGAGACGTCTGTGGGGCGCAGGTTGGGAGAAGGTGTGTGTGAAGGGGAGACATTTGTGGGCCGCAAGTTGGGAGAAGGTGCGTGTGAAGGGGAGACGTTTAGGGGGGAGACGTTTGTGGGGCGCAGGTTGGGAGAAGGTTCGTATGAAGGGGAGACGTTTAGGGGGGAGACGTTTGTGGGGCGCAGGTTCGGAGAAGGTGTGTGTGAATGGGAGACGATTAGGAGGGAGACGTTTCTGGGTCGCAGGTTCGGAGAAGGTGAGTGTGAAGGGGAGACGTTTAGGGGGGAGACGTTTTTGGGGCGCAGGTTGGGAGAGATGAGTATGGAGGGGAGACGTTTGTGGGGCGCAAGTTGGGAGAAGGTGCGTGTGAAGGGGTGACGATCAGGAGGGAGACATTTGTGGGGCGCAGGTTGGAAGAAGGTGCGTTTGAAAGGGAGACGTTTAGGGGGAAGACGTTTGTGGGGCGCAGGTTTGGAGAATGCGCGTGTGCAGGGGAAACGTTTAGGGGGGAGACGTTTCTGGCGCGCATGTTCGGAGACGGTGCATGGGGTGCAGGTTGGGGAAGGTGCGTGTGAAGGGGAGACGTTTAAGGGGGAGACGTTTGTGGCGCGCAGGTTCGGAGAAGGTGCGTGTGAAGGGGAGTCGTTTAGGGGGGAGACGTTTGTGGCGCGCAGGTTCAGAGAAGGTGCGTGTGAAGGGGAGACATTTGGGGGGCACAAGTTGGGAGAACGTGTGTGTGAAGGGGAGACTTTCAGGGGGGAGACGTTTATGGGGCGCAGGTTCGGAGAAGGTGCATGGGGCGCAGGTTGGGAGAAGGTGCGTGTGAAGGGGAGACGTTTAGGGGGGAGACGTTTGTGGCGCGTAGGTTCAGAGAAGGTGCGCGTGAAGGGGAGTCGTTTAGGGGGGAGACGTTTGTGGCGCGCAGGTTCGGAGAAGGTGCGTGTGAAGGGGAGATGTTTAGGGGGAGACGTTTGTGGGGCGCAGGTTCGGAGAAGGTACGTGTGAAGGGGAGACGTTTAGGGGAGACATTTGTGGGGCGCAGCTTCGGAGAAGGTACGTGTGAACGGGAGACGTTTAGGGGGGAGACGTTTGTGGGGCGCAGGTTGGGAGAAGGTGCGTGTGAAAGGGAGACGTTCAGGGGGGAGATGTTTGTGGGGCGCAGGTTCGGAGAAGGTGCGTGTGAAGGTGAGACATTCAGGGGGGAGACGTTTGTGGGGCGCAGGTTCGGAGAAGGTGCGTGTGAAGGTGAGACATTTACGGGGGAGACGATTGTGGGGCGCAGGTTGGGGGAAGGTGCGTGTGAAGGGGAGACGTTTGTGGGGCGCAAGTTGGGAGTAGGTGCGTGTGAAGGGGAGACGTTCAGGGGGGAGACGTTTGTGGGGCGCAGGTTGGGAGAAGGTGCGTGTGAAGGGGAGACGTTTAGGGGGGAGACGTTTGTGGGGCGCAGGTTGGGGGAAGGTGCGTGGGAAGGGGAGACGTTTGTGGAGCGCAAGTTGGGAGTAGGTGCGTGTGAAGGTGAGACATTTAGGGGGGAGACGTTTGTGGGGCGCAGGTTGGGGGAAGGTGCGTGTGAAGGGGAGACGTTTGTGGGGCGCAAGTTGGGAGTAGGTGCGTGTGAAGGGGAGATGTGTAGGGGGAGACGTTTGTGGGGCGCAGGTTCGGAGATGGTACGTGTGAAGGGGAGACGTTTAGGGGGAGACATTTGTGGGGCGCAGCTTTGGAGAAGGTACGTGTGAACGGGAGACGTTTAGGGGGGGGACGTTTGTGGGGCGCAGGTTGGGAGAAGGTGTATGTGAAGGGAAGACTTTCAGGGGGGGAGACGTTTGTGGGGCGCAGGTTGGGAGAAGGTGCGTGTGAAAGGGAGACGTTCAGGGGGGAGATGTTTGTGGGGCGCAGGTTCGGAGAAGGTGCGTGTGAAGGTGAGACATTCAGGGGGGAGACGTTTGTGGGGCGCAGGTTCGGAGAAGGTGCGTGTGAAGGTGAGACATTTAGGGGGGAGACGTTTGTGGGGCGCAGGTTGGGGGAAGGTGCGCGTGAAGGGGAGACGTTTGTGGGGCGCAAGTTGGGAGTAGGTGCGTGTGAAGGGGAGACGTTTGTGGGGCGCAGGTTGGGAGAAGGTACGTGTGAAGGGGAGACGTTTAGGGGGGAGACGTTTGGTGGGCGCATGTTGGGAGAATGTGCGTGTGAAGGGGAGACGTTTAAGGGGGAGACGTTTGTGGGGCGCAGGTTGGGAAAAGGTGTGTGTGAAGGGGAGACGTTTAGGGGGGAGACGTTTGTGGGGCGCAGGTTGGGAGAAGGTGCGTGTGAAGGGGAGACGTTTAGGGCGGAGACGTTTGTGGGGCGCAAGTTGGGAGATGGTGCGTGTGAACGGGAGACGTTTAGGGGGGAGACGTTTGTCGGCGCAGGTTGGGAGAAAGTGCGTGTGAAGGGGAGACGTTTAGGGGGGAGACATTTGTGGGGCGCAGGTTCGGAGAAGGTGCGTGTGAAGGGGAGACGTTTAGGGGGGAGACGTTTGTGGGGCGCAGGTTGGGAGAAGGTGCATGTGAAGTGGAGACGTTTAGGGGGGGAGACGTTTGGTGGGCGCATGTTGGGAGAATGTGCGTGTGAAGGGGAGACGTTTAAGGGGGAGACGTTTGTGGGGCGCAGGTTGGGAAAAGGTGCGTGTGAAGGGGAGACGTTTAGGGGGGAGACGTTTGTGGGGCGCAGGTTGGGAGAAGGTGCGTGTGAAGGGGAGACGTTTAGGGCGGAGACGTTTGTGGGGCGCAAGTTGGGAGATGGTGCGTGTGAAGGGGAGACGTTTAAGGGGGAGACGTTTGTGGGGCGCAGGTTCGGAAAAGGTACGTGTGAAGGGTAGACGTTTAGGGGGAGACATTTGTGGGGCGCAGCCTCGGAGAAGGTACGTGTGAACGGGAGACGTTTAGGGGAGAGATGTTTGTGGGGCGCAGGTTGGGAGAAGGTGTATGTGAAGGGAAGACTTTCAGGGGGGGAGACCTTTGTGGGGCGCAGGTAGAAGGTGCGTGTGAAAGGGAGACGTTCAGTAGGGTCACCTTCCCTACAGCTGCTGGCTCCTCAAAGCCTTCATCCTTCTCTGGACCAGCTGGTACTTGCGTCGACACGAAGTAGCATAGACCGGGTACCGATCGTCGCTCGGGTCCTTGTCGTTGTCTCCGCTCTTCATGTTTGCAGCTCCGCCACCACGGCCGCCACGGCCTCCACGGCCTCCACGGCCTCTTCCTCTCCCTCCACCTGCTCCTCTACCCTCTTGGTCTTGAGCAGGGGTCCAACCATCAGGGAGCTTGTAGCAATCGCGCCACATGTGTCCGGTCTTATGACAATAATGGCACTCGCCATCGAATCGGCCGCGACCGCGCCCGTAGCTCTTGTCGTCGCTGCCGTAACCGCCACTCCCGCGGCCTCCACTGAAGTTGCTGCCACCAAACCTTCCTCCCCCTCGTCCTCTGCCTCTTCCTCGGCCATATCCACGGCCGACGCTTGCTGCCCCAGCGCCATCCGCACTCGCCAACTCACGGCGGCGGAAGTCCTCTTGTAGGATTGCGCGTTTCACGTCTTCAAGCGAGAGACGGGGCAGGTCACGGTTCAAGTTGATGATGAGTGAGGACCATGACTCGGGGAGTAGGGCCAGCAACTTGGTCTTCTTCTGGAGCTCACTGTAGTTCAAATCAGCTCCCTCAAGCCGCGTCAACAAGTCGAAGAATTTCTGCACCCCGTCTTCCACGGGTTCATCTTCCTCAATTCGTAGCGTCGCCATTTGCCGTTCCAACACCACAGCTACCGCCGCTGTTGCAGGAGCGTGTACACCCTTGAGAGCAGCCCATGCCTTTGGTCCCTTCTCTGGTTCACGCTGGAATGGCTTGATGTGACGGATCTGGATGCTCCCCAACGCTTGCCCAAGTAGGAGGTAGCCTTGTGCGCTCTTCCGCACCCACGGGCTCTTCTCCGGGTCGTTCTCGGGACGCTTCTCCGTTCCTTCCATCACCTCCAGCAGGTCATAGTGGTCGAACACATTCTCCATTCTGAAGGACCATTCAGCAAAGTTGTCGCCGTTGGACTTGTCAAGGCCAAACACTCTAGGCTCGTCCCTAGATGGGCCAACACTTGGTTGCACGGGCGCCATGGCTGAGTCACGGGGTTGGCCTTGAGCTTGGGCTTCTCCACTGCCACCAGCACCTCTGCCACCCCTTTCCTCAGGTCCAGCAATTGTCGAAACTGCTCCAAGGGGCTCTGATACCACTTGTTATAGTCACAGTAGGCTCCAATGTGCCTAAAACGAAAGATAGAGTGCACAGTCGGATTTCTGCACAGCGGCTTCAAACGTTCATAGCGTTCTGGTCACAGCTTCAAATGACTTGATTCACTTGGATCTGGAGCGTCTTATTGTCGCCTACACTAGGCAATTTAGATCGCACGATTTGACCAAGTATTGACGACACAGCGTCGGTTTGAACGAACGGCACTATTGCAGCCACTATAGACTTAGAACACAAGATAGGAAGAGTTAGGAAGAGTTACGAGTTGGGAATGACTCCCAGCTCCTACAAACCCCAAGAGCCGAGGTACAGTGATGTGGAACAGTGCCACACTGTCCCCAACCACGAAGGGTCTCGAAACTACCCTTCACTAGGGCCTACACCAAGTGAAATGTTACACTACACAAAGTAATGTAACTATCTTCAATATCTTGAGGTGTACCCTTTTGGCGAGCTTCGAAATCACTTGAGGCTTGACACCAAGGCTCGGGCTCTTCATCACAAACTCATCCTTGAGTTCTTGATGGGTCTGCTGCACACACCTGCGACACGCCGAACGTTCGACACAGGACAAAATAGAAACCGCGCACGACAAAATAGAAACCGCGCGCGAGACACAAACGACCGCGTAACACGCGTCTAGCGATAACTCGCTATTGACTCGACACACACACTCGACATCATGACTCAACATTCACACACAATTATAAGCATGAAATATATATTATCCCATGCCCTCATACCATTCCATACACACACACATTCACGCACACGGACAACAAGCCGAGTGCAAACCGTAGGGTTGCACCAACAAACCCCCCCTCGGATTGTTGGCCTTAGGATATGTTGCTCTCTCAGTTCAGAGCCATCCCAGCCAGCTTGCAACACTTCCAATGCTGCTGCTCCACCAGCCTCTTGGTCATCATGTCAGCCGGCTGCCCCGTGGTCTTCACGTAGCGCAACTCAACTTCACCCGCGGTTACCATGCTCCTCGTCCAATGCCACTTCACTCTCATGTGCTTCGTGAGTCCATGCAACACAGGGTTCTTAGCAAGAGCAATGGCACCCTGGCTGTCACAGTACAGTGGGGTAGGTCCTTGCTGCTCCTCCCCCAATTCAGCCAACAAACGCCGCTGCCACACAATCTCCCGTACGGCACGGAAGAGTGCCATGTACTCGGACTCCACCGAGCTCAAAGCTTGGTCAACCTGCTTCTTGCTCTCCCAAGCAGTTGGGCCTCCACCAACACAGCATATGAAGCCTCCCACGCTTGTCATGTCCTCTGGTTCTGATGCATATGAAGCATCCGAGTAGGTGGTGAGGAACAAACGCCCGGGTTCAACACCATCCGCGCCCTTTTGGCGCCTTTGTGCCGCCGCCGAGTATTGCAGCCCAACGGTCGGTGTTTGGCCAAGATACTTGGCCACCCTCATTCCAGCTGCTACCTGCTCCTCATTAGGGCATTGCACAACCCTAGCCAGCTGCCCGGTAGCAAACGCGACGTCCGGTCGGGTGTTTACCGCCGCATACATAAGGCTGCCCACCAACGAGTGAAATCGGCGCCTCTCCTCTTCTCCAACGCTCTCCTCCTCTGGCCCCTTCACACACTTGAACCCAGAGGGAAAGGGAGTAGCCACATGACCTTCACTCTGGCCGAAGTTGGCAGCCAACGCCTCCAGGTACTTCCGTTGGTGCACTCGCATGCTCCGCTTCTCCACGTCTCGTTCGATATGGAGCCCAAGGTAGAAGTTCACGTCACCAAGGGACTTGCACTTGAACTTGTCTTGCAGCTTCAGCATCACCTCCTTCACAAGGTCAGGAGAGGGTGAGAAGATCAGGACGTCGTCCACGTACACCACCATGAAGCTCCTCTGCTCCCCCTCGCCAAGCATGAACAAGGAGTGATCGGCCGTTGAGGGAGTGAAGCCGATCCCCTCCAACACTTCGCGCAGCTTCATGTACCATTGCCTAGGGGCCTGCTTCAGCCCATAGAGGGCCTTATTCAGCTTCCACACTCTGCCACTACCATCATCAAACCCCTCTGGCTGCGCCATAAAAATCTCCTCCTCAAGGATGCCGTTAAGGAATGCCGTTACGATGTCCATTTGTTTTACTACCCATCCTTTGATGGCGGCTCCCGCGAATAGGGTTCGCAGCGTCGTCGGCTTCACCACAGGGGCAAACAGCTCCTTGAAGTCCACCTTCTCCTTCTGCTGATATCCCTTGGCTACAAGCCTAGACTTGTAGCGCTCGATCTTGCCGTCGGCATCCGACTTGATTTTGAAGAGCCACTTGGACGTTATCGCCGTACGCCCCTCCGGTAGCTCCACCAATTCAAACGTGTCATTCTCCTCGATGCTCTTCAGCTCACTCTCCATGGCCTTCTTCCACTCCTCAGCATCACTACTCTCCAAAGCCTCCTTGAGAGTTGCTGGTTCTCCCGGCATCTCTACCGGAGAGAAGAACGCGAAGGCACACTCCTCGTAGTCACTCTCCTCGTCGTCTCCGACCATCATTGCTGCTCCGGCCAGGGCTGTCTTGCCCTGCTTTCCCGGCGCATCATAGGTCAGCCTATTAGGGGGTTGAACTCTCCTCTTCCCCCTTCCTTCCTCCTCAGCTGCAGGGACTTGAAGGCCTTGGCGTTGCTGCGGTGTGGCTCGAATCCGTGGAGCACTCGTAGTACGGGAAGGGAGTGACGGTGCACGCTCGCTCACTTGCTGCACCTCCTCCTCTTCTTCCTCTGCATCATTGGCCTCCTCTCCCCCATTCACAAGGGAGGATTGCCTTGTGGTTGTGCTGCCGCTGCTCAGCTCCAAAGGCAGCTCCACATGCTCCAAACCGGAACTCTTCACCTCCCCAAACCGCACGCCTATCTTCGCCTCATTCTCCGCCTTCCAATCCTTGTACATGAAGTTCTCCATGAACTTGCAGTCCCTGCTCACCAAGAACTTCTTGGTGAATGGGTCCCAAAGAAGCCATCCCTTGCTGTTTTGAGCCATGCCCAAGTGCACGGCCCACACCGCCTTGGCACCAAGCTTGTTGTGCCGAAGATGCTTAGGCACGAGCGCCATGCACATGCACCCGAACACCCGAAGCATATCCACCTTTGGCTTCCTTCCTAGCCACTCCACATAGGGCACCCATTTGTCTGCTCCCACATGAGTCAAGGCTCTGTTCTTGGCCACACACGCGCTCCGCACCGCATCAGGCCAGAAATAGTCGGGTAGCCCGGCTTCAATGAGAAACCCGCGTGCCGCCTCCGTGATTGTGCGGTTCGCTCGCTCGGCGATGCCGTTCATTGCAGGGGAGTATGGCATGGTGAGGGAGTGCCGAATACCATTCTTCTTCAGCCACAACCCAAACTCCTTGCTCAGGAACTCTCCCCCTCGATCGGTGCGGATTGACTTGACTAGACGGTCTTGTTGCCGCTCCACCATCGGGAACCAATCCGTCTTCAACGTTTCAGCCACGTCGCTCTTCTTGGCCAGCACATACACCCAAGTCATGCGGGTGTAGACGTCGACAATGGTGAGAAAATACTCAGCTCCAGCAGCTCCAAGCTTCAGGGGGCCCACCACGTCCATCA